AAAATTCCAGACTGAAGCTTCCTATAAAACACCATTGCTGCTCCCCAATCACTTAAAGCTACCCACAACAGAATCGGTCCTGGTTATAGATAATGTTGTCTATTTGCTGACATCATGCACTGCTGTCATCTCAAACAATGTATTTTACTTTGCTTTTTCCCCCTCATTGCTCTAAATTGGAACTATTCTGCTATACCAGTCATTTTCTTCTGCACCAACCACCCGCACCATTGTCTAGTCTTTTGCTCCAGCCATTGTTCGATCCTTTATACCAGATGCTGTACAGTCTCCTGTACCAGCCTCTTTAGCCTTTCCAGTACCAGTATTTTCTGTTGTTGCCCAGTCTCCCACATCAGCCACTCTCCAGTCTGCTACTCTTGCTGCTATTGACTCTGCCTCACCAGGTTCTGTCCAGTCTCTGCAACAGACACTCTCCAGTTTGCTGCACCACCTTCTGTCCTATGTGTGGCACCAACTGTTGTCTTCTCTGCTACTCTACATTCTATTGCTTCAGACACTGTCCATTCTCTTGCTCCATTGCTCTTTAGTCTCCTGCACCACCTGCTGTCAATTGTCCCACATAGCTGTCTACTCTCCCGCACTTACCATTGCAGCAGCTGTTCAGCTTTTGTCTATTTTCCTGCACCAGCCATTCCAGATGTGGTCTAGTTTCCTACTTTAGCCACTGACTAATCTCCTGCTCTGGCCACGATCTAATCTTGAGTCAGCTTTGGTACAGAGATGCCACATATTTCCTCGTCTCCAGACATACAGTATAATCAGTGAGTGTAGGGAATTAATCAGAAATAAAGGTTAATTCAGAATAATCCATATGGATTACTGCCTATTTCTTTTTAAAATAAATATTTTTTTTTTTACTAAGACATGTACAGTATCTCAAAGAAGTGAGTACACCCCTCACATTTTTGTAAATATTTTATTATATAATTTCATGTGATGACACAGAAGAAATTACACTTTGCTACAGTGTAAAGTAGTGAGCGTACAGCTTGTATATCAGTGTACATTTGCTGTCCCCTCAAAACAACTCAACACACAGCCATTAATGTCTAAACCGCTGGCAACAAAAGTGAGTACACCCCTAAGTGAAAATGTTCAAATTGGGCACAAAGTGTCAATATTTTGTGTGGCCAACATTATTTTCCAGCACTGCCTTAACCCTCTTGGGCATGGAGTTCACCAGAGCTTCACAGGTTGCCACTGGAGTCCTCTTCTACTCCTCCATGACGACATCACGGAGCTGGTGGATGTTAGAGACCTTGAGCTCCTCCACCTTCTGTTTGAGGATGCCCCACAGATGCTCAATAGGGTTTAGGTCTGGAGACATGCTTGGCCAGTCCATCACCTTTACCCTCAGCTTCTTTAGCAAAGCAGTGGTCATCTTGGAGGTGTGTTTGGGATCGTCATCATGTTGGAGTACTGCCCTGCGGCCCAGCCTCCGAAGGGAGGGAATCATGCTCTGCTTCAGTATGTCACAGTACAAGTTGGCATTCATGGTTCCCTCAATGACCTGTAGCTTCCCAGTGCAGGCAGCACTCATGCAGCCCCAGACCATGACAATCCCACCACCATGTTTGACTGTAGGCAAGACACACTTGTCTTTGTACTCCTCACCTGGTTGCCGCCACACACCGTTGACACCATCTGAACCAAATAAGTTTATCTTGGTCTCATCAGACCACAGGACATGGTTCCAGTAATCCATGTCCTTAGTCTGCTTGTCTTCAGCAAACTGTTTGCGGGCTTTCTTGTGCATCATCTTTAGGAGAGGCTTCCTTCTGGGACGACAGCCATGCAGACCAATTTGATGTAGTGTGCGGCGTATGGTCTGAGCACTGACAGGCTGACCCCCCACCCCTTCAACCTCTACAGCAATGCTGGCAGCACTCATAACGCTATTTCCCAAAGACAACCTCTGGATATGACGCTGATCACGTGCACTCAACTTCTTTGGTCGACCATGGCGAGGCCTGTTCTGAGTGGAACCTGTCCTGTTTAACCCACTGTATGGTCTTGGCCACCGTGGTGCAGCTCAGTTTCAGGGTCTTGGCAATCTTCTTAAAGCCTAGGCCATCTTTATGTAGAGCAACAATTCTTTTTTTCAGATCCTCAGAGAGTTCTTTGCCATGAGGTGCCATGTTGAACTTCCAGTGACCAGTATGAGAGAGTGAGAGCGATAACACCAAATGTAACACACCTGCTCCCCATTCACACCTGAGACCTGGTAACACTAACGAGTCATATGACACCGGGGAGGGAAAATGGCTATTTGGGCCCAATTTGGGCATTTTAACTTAGGGGTGTACTCACTTTTGTTGCCAGCGGTTTAGACATTAATGTCTGTGTGTTGAGTTATTTTGAGGGGACAGCAAATGTACACTGATATACAAGCTGTACACTCATTACTTCACATTGTAGCAAAGTGTCATTTCTTCTGTCGCCACATGAAATGATATAATAAAATATTTACAAAAATGTGAGGGCGTACTCACCTCTGTGAGATACTGTATTTGTTTGTGAGCTTTATTTATTTAAGATCCCAGTACTATTATTACTTGCTTTAACATGACCCTGTCAGCATAGGAGCACTTGTATATAAAAGCACACCTGCTTTTATATACAAGTATACACAAGAGAAGTGTGAATATACTTACCTTTCTGGTGACCCGTTTACTTAAATGCTGCCAATGTTACCCAGTCATTGCAAATAGAAATAGAAATGTGAAGTAGAAAAGTATGCAGGGAACCATCCTTTCTCAAATGGTGTCATGTGAAAAGGAAAAAATATTGTATATAGTTTTTAATGCATAACAATTATGCTATGTTTTATTCCAAAGGGGTACATTAATGATACTGTGTGTCAGTTGTGGTTATGGATTGAGAAACTACAGTATAGCCTAGAGGGGGTTTGACACTTACAATCTTCCAGTCTCTTCTGTCCCACCAGAGGTTCTTTTGTGACAGCCTTTTGTGACAGCAGTTTCCAGGGCTCAGAGCATGACAATAGTTTCCTCAACTAATGGACCGTCAGCCTTCATTTTTTCCGAGCTTCACTCCCCAAGGTCGCTTCAAACGAAGGCTTCTGCTTATCCAGATTCTTCCAGGTTTTTCTGCATCCAGCTAAATTCTTCAGGGTTACTGCCCACATCTAATTCCCTCTAATAGCACACTGGCAAACCAATCACACTTGTCTTTTCTGAAGATCCAGGAGGGCCACTGGACTTGTACACGATGTAAAATGGCCTTAAAAGAACTCACTTAAAACCCTTATTATAACTATTTCTTAGAGTTTAATATGGCAAGCTGGGTATTTTTTTTTCTCAAGGAGATCATAGCTATTTTTACTAGTATCTATTTAAAAGCTACTTTCTGTTCTTGATATATGTTAAAGTGACATTAAAGGCTCCTATTTTTTTATTCCCCCCCCATGCTGCTTTAAGTACTTACCTTATGTGATGCCCCTTGTTCCAAAAATCTTCCTTCCATTTGTTTCCAACAGTCCCTCCGGCGCTGGTGCCGCTCTCTGATCCAGTGCAGACTCCACTTTCTTCCTGTCCCACTGAGTCTGTGCGGTGTGCACGCTCCCAGCTGCATGCATTCACTTATACTGTGCCTCTCCTCATCTCCCCGCCAGTGATATTGAGTGTGCATGCGCCCTCACACATCATCTTCTGCATGGCCATTTGGGGAAGCCGAGTTCTGCAGCTGGGAGCGAGCAGTGCAGACACAGGTAAGTTATTGTCTATTTGACAATGTATTTTTTCAAATGTTGTGGCATATATCTACTGATTGCCAGCAGTAGATATACGTAAAAAAAAAACCAAGACTTTAATACCACTTTAAGGCTTTATTCCAAAAAAATTGAAAAGTCTGAAATGCCAAAAAGTTAAAAAAGTGTTATGTTTTAAAAATGGTGCATGCGCTTGCTTATTACTAAGAGAGGGAAAAATGTTGGGCATACGACACTATAACAGAATGAGGGGAATTTATCAAAACTGGAGCAGAAAAATATCTTGAGCAGTTGCCCATGGCAACCAATCAGCTTCTCTCTTCAGTTTGTTCAGTTAAGATTTGAAAATGAAAGAGAGAAGCTGATTGGTTGCCATGCATAGCTGATCCAGATTTTGTTCGCTCCAGTTTTAATAAATCCACCCAAAGACGTTAAATAGTGATATGTCAACCAACCTTCCATTTCAAAGATTGACCAACCGACAGATCTGTGCTCACTCGACTGCAAGCAATAGATTTCTAAAAGAAAAGGATTGGATCAGGCACCTTCCCTTTTATAAGCCACTTTAATTCTATACTTTTGTTCTTTTCTTCAAACAGTTACATAACCAGTAATGTTTAACATATTTACAATAGATCTTTATTTTAAAAACCTTAGTTTACATTACACTGCACACATAAAAATTTCTTTATATAAAAAATATATTATTTACATGACAGTCCAGCTGAATTATTAGAGAAATACAAAAATACATTGAAATAGTCAGTAGGAAAAAGCGCTTAGAGAAAGTTAGAATCTATCTAAAAGGCAATATTTACAAGAAATGCATATATTATCAGTACAAATAGCACTAACATTACTATGCCTATATTAAGGCTACAACTACCTTTGTGGAACTGCGGTATGTTTACAAAATGGTCTTTGACAAACGACACTATATAAAGATTACTACAGTGCTATTTAACCAATCAACGTTCAATAATTTGTTATCAGCCATTACAAAAATAATTTATTAAATGCCGTGATGGGTTACTGTAGTTTTCCCATTGCTCACTGCCTTACTGAATCAAAATTTTTCAGTTTTACGAGTTACTTTATTTTTCTAGGAAAACAGATCTACAGATTAACATATCTGATCATATAGACATTCAGCTGCTTTTGTATGCTCTGGATTCTTATATGATCTGATTTTCCTTTAAAATCGGTACATATTGCTGAATCTTAACAATTGGGACAGTGGTTGATGCGCCATACACAAGCCATTTGTTTATAGACTGGGTCTAAAACAATCCAGTCTAAAAGTCATGCTGTGCATGGGAAGCTTCTCAAAATCTACAACCTCAAAAGCTTTCCTTTTCAATATATTTACTTGAAAACACTTCTTTTCTACCTTTAGAGGTACAAAAAAAAAAAAATACATTATCATAGAAACTACGCAAATCAAATATTCAAGAGTTAAAAAAGAAGATTAATGAATAGCCCTGCTGCAGCAAAGGTTTGTTTAGCTAATGACTTGAATCCCTTTAATAGGACTCAGCCCAGATGTACAATAGATTGTGTACATTAGCAACCCTTTGCTCGCTTACAATTCACATTAACTACTTTAAAGAAACTGAAAACATTTTCAATGAGAAAAATCTCAAATACAATAATAAAACTGGTTTACAACAACCTACAGAAGCTAAAATATCAGCTTAAGTTTTTGGCACCGTAATAATGATGCTACATCAACGTCCTTATAAAAAAGGTTGAGTTCTGACGTAATTATGCACAGTGGAAGAATATCCACACTATGTATCTTCCATTCTGCGTTTAACATCCTTGAGACACTTTGTCACTCAGCTGCCATCCAGTGGCGTTCTTCCCAAATTTATATACCAGTCTGCGGCCATCTACACGCTCGAGGATTTCCCGTTTATAGTAGTATCTGCGAAGATAAGAATAAAGATTTTAAATTTATTTAAATGTAACTTTTGCTTAAGCTGTTATTGTAATTTTGCATTTTATTGTTATGGTAAGGCAGGAATGACACTAACCTCATGGCTCGACTAAGTTTCTCATATGTCATACTAGCATTCTTCTTCTTTTGTCCCCACAGTTGGGCTACTGCCTCTGAGCGAAGGAATTTGAAGACCCCTTCGGTTCTGTCCTCCCACTTCAAAAGGCCATCATTCAAATCCGAATGCAACAATATATCGCGGATAAACTCCCAGAGGTGTGTACCACGTGCTGCTAGGAAAGAATATTAGAAAATAATTAAATCTGAGAAATATAGTCAAAGTTATCTAATGCAAAAACTTGCTTTGTATAAGAGAAGAGTTTTTCATAATCCACATAAAATATGTTTTTTTAATTATGTATTTAAATAAACTGTTATCCATAACATTTATTCGGGTTGATATTTTTCACTGCTTGGTAAACTCAAAAAAAATTAAACTTGGTTTGTTGTTATGGGCAACAGCCATATAAACCCTTTTTTTTTTCCTAGATGTGCTTTTCATAACAAGGAAAATATGTTATGAACAACTTTCCTTCGCATATAGAAATTCTACTCACCATGCTTGCTCTTTTTTGTCTCCAGGATGTCTCTGCAGCCGGAGTTCAACTTTCTGGGTCTTCCCCGCCTTCTCTTGTTTGGGGTACCATCACTTTTGTTTGAGAAGACATCTAAATGGGAGGCAGAAAGTATCAATCATATTGTCATTAAATAGCAGAACACACTAAATAACCTTGTATGCGTTTTCTACTATTTTGTTTATATATGTTTTGATATTAAAGAAAAATATTAGTTAATATTCTGCCCCTTCATGATAATAACGTAAAGGTTGGCTTTCTGATGTTACCCTCACTCTTAAGTCATGTATCCTTAAAGTAGAACTATAGCCTTCAATTAAAACAAATATGTGCTTCTGCACTTAATTATAGGTCAATTTGCACTTACAGCTTTCTCTTAGTCTACCTGCAAAGTACCACAAATACATGTTGAGACTACCAGTTCACCTAATGTAGCTTCTTTCAATAGTGTGGCAAGGATGCTGCACTGCAATTCAGAGCAAAGTTGCCACTCTCATGGATACTTGTGCCTACTTTCACTACAGTGGGATGGAAAAAATGTTTCAGGGGAGTGGCTATTAGCATTGTCACTGCTGATTCACAAACCTGTAGCTTGTCAATCAGCACCTGGTCACACCTAGTCCTGCCCAGTGCTTTCTGAATTGACAGCACTGCCTCTTTGGCTAAAACACTCCCAATGTGAGCAGCGGCGTCTCGTAGGGAGAGCATTTGAAACACATACATTTTGGCTCAGTAAGGGAAGGTAAAGGATGTTTTTTGTTTTCTTTATGAGGCTTGTGCATCACATAATAACTGGATTTGGTACTTGTTTACACTGTCATAGGGCAACCTTTATTTGTACAATCCATGCCCCTGCTGAGCATTTCTGCTGCCTGAATTGTTAGTCGTTGATCCCAGATGTGGAATAATCTGACTTTTATTGACAGAGGCCATATGAAACATGAATGTTAATTTAATAAAAACATTACGTGCACGGCTTATGAAAAAATGTGACTATACCTTGATGAAGGAATGTTGCTACTATAATGTCAAGAATACACGGCAGGATTATGTATTGTAAAAGTGTTCCAACGCCTTAGTGCCACTGGCCTATGACCCCCAGTGCTCGTAATATAAAGACTGAGGTGATATCTGTTATCACATTTTTCATAGGAGGAAGTATTGTATGTTTAGTGAACTTTAAACCTGACAACTGGGGGTAATGGTAATGAGGAACTAATTACAAATTAATCATTCTCTCATGTAACTTTCTATTTTTTTATTTTTCTATTTGCCTTTTTTAAATTTGTTTTTAAGAGACCTATTCTTAAAAAAAATAAGTAGATTGCCATTGCTAACCTCTGAAAATGCTAGCTGCCTGGTTGTCATGTTAATGATTTGGCTTCAATATTTGAGTCACCATCCCTCAACATTTATATAGAAAAGGAATTCTGACTTTCATTTGCTACAGACGTTCCAACTCTGTGATTCTGAGGTATTGATGCTAAACACAGTCAGGCGACTAGCATGTTTTAAAAGATAGCCAGCAATAGCAGACCACATGCTTACTTCAAGAAGGGGTTTACTTTAAATGCATCCATTTCTGTACAATATGACATTAATTAAATGAAAGTACATTTTTTTAAAATGAAAATACACAAACAATATTCTTAGCACTTAAAGAAAATAGTTCAACATAGAATATTTATTTTGGAAATAATCATACAAATATTATAAAATGCATGGTTATCTCTTTGTACAATATTATCTCACCTCTGTTCAAGTGACTTTTAATATCTAGATCACTTCCTGCTGAAGAATCTCCAGCTTGTGGGCTGTAGGGCAATGTCCCTGCTAAAGAAAAAAAAAAAAGTCATGAGCTGAAAAAGCTGAAAAGAACCCATAAATGTTCTACCGATAAAGCTGTAATATATTCTTCAGTCAGTGTTTGCAACTGAATTAAAGAAAATGAACATGCTTACCAGATGCACATGATGCAGGGCTTGCTGGAGAGATCGGATCGGAGTAATAACCTGCATCTGTTGTTCTATCTCCATAACAGTCAAAATCTGAAAAGACAGACACGAAGTCATTATTTTCCTTTTCTTACTTTATGTATTTTTATTTTTATTGGAGGTGTTGACTGTCTCTTATTCCTGGGATGTCCCATATTATAATTAAAATCACGCTGTCCCTTTTGTCCATCAAATAAAGGAGTGCCAGTATACTACAAAGGTTTGTTGATAATTAAACTACATGTCTTTCCTTTTTTCTAAGCTATGTACCAATGACCCATGAAACCCTGACCTCACCCTTTACTTAAAATGTTGTCAACATTGTACAGAATACATGCATTTCAAACACTCAAGCTCCTTTCACAATTTTCCACACCCATTATGTGTTTTTATGGCTTTTCTCAGGCAAGCCACATACCCCCATCACCCTCCAATAGTACTTCTAAGGTTTCATACCTATTTCCTTCTTGATTCCATGCTGCAGATGATCGTCATTTCGGATTAGGTCACAGATCAGATCCCACTCAAACGGGCCTTCTAGACCAATCAAAAAAAATGATCAACTAAAGAAAAAAACACCAATATAACAAGAAAGAAGCAAAATTTGTAAATGGAGTATTACCATTTAATTCATAATCCCCGATTTCAGGATTCACTGTTGGAGGAGTATGCCCTGCAGAAACACATTTTGCCATAAGTAAAGCACACTTATATGAAGCAGAAGCTAAACACTTGACAATACATGGATTTTTTACAATTCCGTGCACTTCATTTATAATATCATAACCCATGAGCCTTCAAACCACTAAGGTGTTGCAAGTGCTGGCATCCTGGCATTATACATATACATTTGATGTTTATGCTTGCTGAATTTAAAATGTTTTACTAGGTAATAGAAAAACACACTAGCATTACAACTGCAGCAAATAAAACCTACTGTGTTAGCACTTAAGTAATTATTGATGTATTTGATAAATTATGTTGGTATTCAATAAAGGCTCGCCGAGTAGTTCCTGAACACAGATCTTTGCAACCCCAGCTCAGTTTGAGTTTTTACTTGATGCCTATGTCTATGTCTATGCATTTTTATCTTTGTTGCAATAAAAATGTCATATAATGTACTGCTTATTTGGTATTGCACAGTACTTACATTCTTTAAGCTGGCACAAATGATCATAAAGCTTGTCTCCAAGTCCCCCAAACATCGTCCTCATATCAGCCCTGCTGAGTTGGCAAAGACGTTGCCCATCCATGTCACATTGCTTCAGATCTATAGTGCTTGCGTCCCACTTGTTCCTCTCCATACTGTAACTGAACCAGTCCAACACCTGCTCTCTGGACCACAGGTTTGGCATGTTCTGGGCCCACCCACATGGGTCCACTGCAAAAAAATAAGATAACATTCTATTTTGCATTCAAACACACAAAAAGAAGCTGATTTACTAGATGAGATTAGAATCATCAGAATATTCACTTCAGTTGTCCAATCATGTGCAAAGCAAGTTTTTTTTTCTTATTTCATCCACCCATGATTAAAAAATTCAAGTGAATATTCACACAATATACTGTATTATGTGAAGATTCTCAACTGCTTCATTAAATCAGCCCAAAAATATTGTATAAAGTGTTCCTGGGCCATATGGATCACTTTACGTCAGCTTACTTAACTACACTTCGCAGTTTAGTAATGAAGTCCAATATGTGTGGCTAGAGGTTTCAGATCAATGAAACAATGATTAGTCTACAATAAGACGCTTATTATGCACTTCATATGAAGGAAAAGACACTGGGCCAGATGAACTATTGTCAGTGCACCAAATATTTGGCACACATAAACCTGCTTTTTTGTAATGCTTCAAATAATAGTTTAATTTTAAGGGTTTGAAGAGAAAGATGTGACTAATGCACCAATTATAATAAATTCTCAAGTGCGACTTTTCGCACAAGAAAATCTCACAATCTGTGCCAAATAAATAATAGATTAAAAAAAACAGTTTGTCAATATTCGACGCAATAGAGCATCATGAGGATGATGGTGGAAGACATTCTACAATGTACCAAATAAACTATGTGCATGGCGACTTAATAGTTTATTCGACATACAATGCACCAGAATAAGATGCGATAATTTGTATTCCTCCACAACCGCCAATTTTAGGTTAACTGACCCAATATGTGAGAATACTTAATTTACACACCTGCACACAGTCTGTAATTGTCTGTTGATAAATATGCACATAATATATATATTCTATAATGCAAACTAGGGCTGTCATACTTGATGGTATTACATTATTGCACGAGTACAGACAATTTGAGGGTGTGTGCACATTTATCAGGTCTCGCTCTTGGTCTTCCCAGATGGAAGTTCTTACTAATTCCTCCTTTTCTAGAACTGCACAGCCCACACCATGCACACTCATGACTGTAAGGATTTGCAGAAGATGACATGCTCTACGAAATTAGCTGGAAACATGGTGCTGCTGTGCCGTCCTCACCTGTAGTTGCGCTTGCAGGGCGTCCTGCGTTGTTTAATCTTACAATTGCAATTTATGTTTCTCTTTATGTTTCTCTTTATGTTTCTCTCTCTCTCTCTCTCTCTCTCTCTCTCTCTCTCTCTCTTTTTTTTGTTTCTTTTTCTTTGCAAAAGCTGTTTCATATTTTCTGTTTATAGTATCATATTGCTTTTTCTTACCTGTTAGTTCACTCTTCGGTTCTGGAATTGCAAACGGAAGGAACTTGTCATTATCTTGGCTTAATAAAAGTGCAGCAGACACAGGGTAAGCTTGGATTGGTGGATATAACGTTGTAATATAGTTTGTTAGGATACTGCTCATGTCGCATGTTGCTCCCGCCATAGTCCCTAAAGTAGAACACAATAGACACTGAGTATTAAACAAAACATAGCCTTTTTTTCTCTTGCCGAAAACTGGCAGTGGAAATATCTTTGCTGATCAGGTACTAAATTCTATACATGCTTTAACTGCCTGTACTTGTATAGGGATGAAACGTAGTCTACAATGCTATGTTTAAGGCAAAAAGTAAAATCAGCTCAAATCTAACATACTGAACATGCAAAGCGCAGCTAATCAATTACATGGAAGCTGTAGTTTATTATGTAATAGAGAGAAGACCTCACTTTAGTACAAGGTGAAGGTTAACATACCTGGGCAGGCTTGCAGAATCAGGAACAATCCAAAAGATAACTTACTAAGGCAACTAAGAGACCGAAAGCGTAACACTACTTTTATATACACCCAACCCATGTAACGTGATTCTACCAGCTATATGCAAACCAAAGAATGGGACTTTCCCCAGGTGCATAACATGAGTTCAGAGGCCACCTAGAAATTTGCATAGCAATCTCAGTTTAAAACTGGCTGAGGTGAAAAGGCACAAGAGGTTTAATAATTGCCAGAAGCGACAGATGTATAAACATAGCAATGTTTGCTATGCTACGTCCAACCACTAGCTATGATATTTACTACTGCTACCCACATCCATGCTATCCTTTCTAAAGACTTTTATGGAAATGGAGGTTTCTTTCAAGCAGTGTGTTCTCAACTACATATCCTAGGGGGGAATTTATCTTATCTGGAGCAGACATAATCTGGAGCATTTACACACAGTAACCAATCAGCTTCCCTCTTCAGGTTGCTCGGTTAAACTTTGAAAATGAAAGAGAGACGCTGATTGGTTACTATGGGCAACTGCTCCAAATTGTGTCTGCTCCAGTTTTGATAAATTCCCCTGACTGTATTTTGTTTTATCTACTTGGTTGCCAGAGCAATTTTTTTATATATATTTCTTGAACCTGCATGTAAAAATCTGATTTTTTTTTTTACTGAAATCCCATCAAATAATTCTATATTTTTCTGAAAGCAGATGTCCTGTAATAATATAGTAGTGTTATTTGCACTTTTTTTATGTTGTACGATATTGGTTTCAAATGTTTACTAAATCAATATATTTAGGAATAAATACACTAAAATGAATTTTAGTGCACACAAACACAATATAGAACCCATTCTTTGGTAAAATATAAAGGATGGGGTTGCGAAGGCTAAACATATCAAGCCTTAAAATTGCAAACACCAGGAAAATGGCAAAAAACAGCGGCACCCAAAATTTCCCATAAGTTACATTTTACAAAGCTTTCACTGGTCATCAGTTCAGAGCTAACAGTGAGTGATGGCCTTAGAATTATTGCTGTCACTCCAACGTTCGTAGCAATATGCAACATGTGTGGCACAATTGTCATTTTCACACATAGGTGCATGCGGTGCATGTTTGCGTTCGTATGTGCGTATCAGTAGGGGTGGAGGGTTTAAAAAAAAAATTGTGTTTTCTTTTATTCTTTATATGTCACTCCTAATGTCACCCATGGACCCCACATAAACTGATAAAGCGTAGATTGCGCTTCACCAGCTTCATTTCTGGCCACAGCAGCTGGAGAAATGACAGCCTGAAATATATATATATATATATGTATATATATGTCCTGAAAGGGATACAGATTATTTTAGGGGAATGAGCTATAATTCCTAAAATGTTTGTAAACCTTAACAATTAACTTTCCTTTTTGCTGCCTTTAAATCTGTTGAATATATAATTGAAAGTGTTTTATAAAATCTGTTAGATTATTGCAAAAAATAATTGTTGATCCTGCCAGAAATTAATTGAACTCATTGCTGTCTGTGATCTCATTCTCTACCTTTGCTGCACTGTTATCATTTAGCATTGTTACTAGGCCCCTCTGTTTACTATAAAACACCTACCCTGTATGTCTGTAAAGGTTCTCATACATCCAGGTCGTGGTATATCTGTAAACCAATCATACCACCATACCTACCATGTTATTGAGGTAAGCAGAAGTGTGTTACTGGCAAAATCACAGGTAAAAATAAAGGAAAAAGGCCTGACAAAAAAACTAATGCACATCTAAGGATTGGTAAACTGCTATATATTGCAGGTTTGTTGTAGAGTTAAGATACATTTTCAGGTATTACCATGAGCAGTGAAACTGTTTTTTGAGCAGCTTTAACTGGGTACTAAATTTTACAGTAGAAATTAAGATTTCTCAATTTTAAAATTGCCCTAAGTAAAGGAGCTTACAGCAGTATCTTACATTTTACAATACACCTAAGGTATTATCACAAGGTTCAGATAAAGTTTCTGCACATATATTGATTATATCACCTAAATGTACATGTCTGTGTACTTAGTAAATTCATAAAAAGGTCAGCCTAAGCTCAGAAGAGCAATAGTGATCTGGGAAAATCCGTCTAGGCCATAGTCAGTAATCATCTAATTTCTTTGAATATCTTATATCTACAGGCACCTTTGTTGAAGAGCTATCACTTTACAGTACTCATAAGGTCACTCTCCATCTTGCATTCCTCATTATTTCTGATGTAAATTATGTGTGTTATAATGCCTCTTAATCTTGGCCTTGCACACTCAGAAAGCCCCCCATCTAAGTAGGGCACATTGCTCTTCAATGTAGCTGGGACTTTTAGAATGGATGCTATTCAGAATGGATACTTTTCATTTTCGGATTAAATCAGTAATGTTCCCTCTAGAGCTCATTGGACAAATATAACAATACTTTTTACAAAAAAGGAGAGGAACTAATTTGTCCGAATCAACTTTTCACCTAGACCAGCCAGACATACTGTACCTCTCAACTGTCCCTTATTTGAAGGGACTGTTCCTCATTTGGAATCAAATCCCTCTGCCCCTCTTTCCTCCTCAGTTGTCTTCTTTTTAGTTTGATTTACATATATCAATGAAAAGTATTATTAGACTACCAAAAGTGTTATTCTGCACTAAAACATGTATGGCCTCTCTTAATTATATTGTTTGCTATTTCAAAAAGCTAGAATAAAGGAAAAGTAATGGTGAAAAAGACAATTCTGGATTTAACCAATTATTGTTTGCATATAAATCCTTAATGGTGTAACTGGGGGCATGGCAGGGGTGTGTCAATTGCTTAAACACATTGTGCTAAAAGGTGTCCCTCTTTCTTATCTCAGAAAGTTGGGTGGTATGGGTAAATTCTCTGAAGGTGGAAATTTACCTGTACTATGGCTCTATGGGGTGCTACAGAATTTGGTCCCATTCCTCCCACTCTAGAAAAAAACAACAGACATTCTGTTTTATGTTTGGAATAACTCTTCTTCCAACCACAAGAGAGGGCACCAGTTGCTGGTTGGTGAACTCTACCCTTCCGATGCAATCAATAGCATGAGCTTTCTCTTAGTTGCATGAATTTAAAGTTACCCTGTTGTTGCCTGCAATCAATAGCATGAGCTTTCTCTTAGTTGCATGAATTTAAAGTTACCCTACCTTAACGGGTGGGGGGGGGGGGGGGGATTTGAACATAGTGGATAGTGGATACTGTGTTTCCCCAGGGACTCCCTGTACCTTCAGATACACACTTGTATCTCCAGGCACTGCAATGATCTCCGGAACCAATATGCATCCAACATTGTTGATCAAGATGATGTTACCTTCTGCAGTTGACAACATTTGAATAAGTGTTCCCCAGCATGTAATGAAGTGTGTCCTTGTATCCATGGGTGCTATTAAAGAATTTGTGCTGTGATAAGAGAACTGGTTGGGGATTGAAAGTTGAGTCAGAAGCAATGTGTGGGACAGCCGTGCAAAAGTGGTGGGACAGACTGCTTCTCAGGTCTGCTGCCCCGTGTAAGGCGTCTGAATGTAATAGACTTCTGAATTAGAAATTAACCCCATTCCTGAAGTGAGACCAGTGAGTAAAAATAGGTTTGTGTGTGGAGGATGGGATTGATGCCCCTACCCAAAGAGTGCTGCAGGACATAGGCTGGGCACTGACTAATTGTGCAGCCTTGAAGCTTCCTGTGGTGTCTTAGAAGATGTGATTGTGTGTAAAAAGCTGGTCAATCAATATGTGGTTTTTCTCATTTTGCCCTGCTGGCTGAGCAAGGAAAAATGCTCAATCTCCCTACATGGCGATTGTATTCTGAACATTGATTGCAGCTGTTCTTCCAACAATTCTCAGCCTGGCTTCTTCCACAAAAGTTGATTGAAAAATCAACTTTTGTCGAATGGAGTGTTGCCGGCAGGGCACAGCTCGAACTTCAGCCAAGTGACTTCACATATGGCATTCAGGGCTGGGCATGGGAGCCCCAAGAGTCTCCAGAAAAAAAACCCTGTAAGCTAGTAGGTTTTGACTTTCATTATCATGTTCCATCATAAGCTAGGAGTTAGTCTTGATGTCATCTACCTGCCATTCCCTTGATCTATCCAGTAAACACGTGCCCCCCCGCTCCGCAATACCCGTGCACACGCACTTGTGGATCACATTGTTGACCTCCTCTCCTGATGAAGCTCCTCGCGGTGCGAAACGTGTTGAGTACACTAATGCCAGTACAGCATCTCCATTGAGCTCTGCAAGTACCGCGCTATCTTCCACTAATACACGTCTCCAACAGAGGTTCCGGTTACCCTAGTGTTTTGATGAAATGTTCTTTATTGTTTGTACATAACCTAGAATCATGTTATAATTATCAACCAATCATGCCTTACCTCATATATGGAGCTTAGTGGTTGTAAGGAGGTTTTCATATAATCATGCTTTGCTTTTTAAACTGTTTTTGTGTATCACACTGATGATTTTTAAACTTCATTATCAAATTAAAATATATATTTTTTTATACTACGTAGCTGTCTGAATGCTCATTGCTACTTGTCAGGTGGTGCCCAAAACCCCAACTTTTCTTTCTATTTCCTATTATACTTAGCCAGGGGTTGGCAGGACCTGCGCACCACCAATCCTTTTTTGTCCGCTGTATTCCTTAACTCTAACAGAGAAAGTGGTGTGACCCTTTTGAGTGTGCTATCTGGCAGAAATGGGAGAATTTCAAAATGGCTGAACAGAATTACACATATCCTGTGACAGATAAGACAGTTTACATATGTATATTACAACTGTGTATTTAGCCATTTGCCAGCTTTAACCAATTATTATTATTATTATTATTACATTATAGTATTTATATAGCGCCAACAGTTTGCGCAGCGCTTTACAATATAAGGAAGACATTACAATGCAATTTAAGACAAGATAGTAAGGAGGGCCCTGCCCCTGAGGGCTTACAATCTAAAAGAGGAGGGGGAAATGATACATGAGGAGGGAGCTGTGTGGGGATGAATTATTTGAGGTGGGATAGGCTTCCTTGAAGAGAAGAGTCTTTAGGGAACGCCTAAAGGCAGTCAAGGTGGGAGATAGACGGACAGGTTGGGGTAAAGA